GTTACTCCCCCCCCCCCAATTGAGCTGTCTCTTACTATTTATGCCGCCGAAGTCAGACCGCATTCACCTCGAACCCGACGACAATGGACACGGGTGGCAGTGAGTCCGGGTGGGTAATATGGCGTTTTGGTAGACATCGTTGAAAGGCATTTTTCTTCCTTTGGAGTGGTGGAGAGGATTGTGTTGCCCGTGGATTCGCACACGGGATTGCCGAAGGGCTTCTCGTTCATTACGTTTACGGAGTCTTCCGCGGTGGAGTTGGTGCTATCGTGTCCGCACGTGATTGACGAGGTGGAAGTGGATTGCAAGCCGGCGTTTCCGCGGAACTCGACCAAGTCATTGCACGACCTGGCGGGCGTGCCGGGAACTTTGTTCAAGACGCGGAAGTTGTTTGTGGCGGGGTTACCGACCACGGTCACGGACTCGGAGCTAGTCAATCACTACGCGCGTTATGGCCAGGTGCTCTCCGGACGTGTGATTAAGGACAAGCGCTCCGGTCATTCGCGCGGTTTCGGCTTCGTCGAGTTCGCAACAGAAGCTGCCGTTGATAAGACCATGTCCAACTTCTCTTCTCACCACCTCGGCGGCAAGTGGGTCATGAGCAAACGTGCTAGCATGAACCCGCCCAAGGAACGACCGAGTAGCCTGGCCAACATGTTGGAGCCGGCCGTTCGCGCTGCAGTAGTTCGAGCGCTTTCAGCCTCGTTCTCCGTGCCCAGAGGCTACCACGACTACGACTATAGACGGGGGTCACCGCCCCGAAGACCCTACCACCGAGGGTGCTACCACGATCACGGTAACAATCAACACCGAACACATATGCGACCAACACATATGCGACCAACACATACGGGACCACTACGTATGCTACGTGCGCGCGGAAAACATATGTATGACAGCGACATACTTATGTCGATGTATGCAACAATCCATGTGACCGACGCGTGCCACTTTGTGTAAGTTGTGTGCCGGACGAGATTTGTGTGCTGGTAGGTCGAGACGACGAGTACTATAGCAGACGTCCCAGGGAGGATTCGCCGCCGCCCATGCGGCGTCGAGGAGGCCCGTATGAAGGCAGCGATCCGCGACGGGGTCGTCGGCGGAGACTGGATGACAGCATCGACGGCAGTCTGGACCGCATGATCGAAAACAGGCGAGGCCCGCCTTTGGATGATAGACGTGGGCCGCCGATGATGGACGACCGGCGTGACAGCCCGGACCGGAGGATGCACGACGACCGTAGAGGAAGTGGTTCATACAGATACCGAAGTTCAGGACCAAGACATAATTAAGCATTTAGCCCCATTTTGAGTAAAACTAGCCAAGCTACCTATCCCACTTCTTGGTTTGGGGTGTACGTACCTAAATACCAGACTACACTACAGCTGTTTTCTCTCTCTCCTTGGTATACGAAAAATACTGGTTGTCCCATCTGCTACTTTCCCCTATGCTACCTAGCCTCCTGGGGAGGACATTGCCCTGGCTATCTCGCCCAAAGGACTACGCCTTCTTCCTCAGCGGTCTGCTACGTTCCTTATATAATTCTGCCTAGACACTCAACGCCGTTGGGGTCCAGTGGGGGTACGCGGCTGCAACATCCTGTTCATCTGTAAAAAGGATTATTGGGGATGTTGCGGGTGCTGAGATGTTGCGGGTGCTGAGATGTATGTAGAATGAATGGTGGAGGATTTTTTTACCATCATGAGCGAGCTACTCCGACCAGGCAGCATTCTCGGCCTCCCCTGATGTGTGCATCCTCTTCATGACGGCTCCTCTTCACAGAAGATCCTTTGGGGAGGCGCGCGCCTAAGAAAGGAAGCCAAACTACCTTTCGCCGTTCCGCTGGATGTTCTCCGTTATCCTACGCAGCTCCGTCATCACACGCAGCTCCGTCATCCTACGCAGAAGTAAGGACTCAAGTTGAACATCTCAAGTTGAACCTCTCAAGTTGAACCTCTCAAGTTGAACCTTTCAAGTTGAACCTCTCAAGTTGAGAGGTTCAACTTGAGAGGTTCAACTTGACCGTCAAGAACGGAGTTGGGATTCCGAGGTGTTTCTTGGGAAGCACTGTGCCTCTGGAAGAGTGATTACGAAGTCCGACGCTTATAGGGTGAAGGCGAAATGAAGTTGCCTGATTGAATTACCGAGTTTTCACGATGGAAGGAAATGGGTTAATTTTAGATAAGACAAGTTTGCACTGTTGCCAGGCTATATACCCTTTAATTAGACCTTGCTGGATCAGGTGTGCAATGATACACATAGTTTCTTCTGCGTCAATTCCATCGTCCTGACTGCTGAGTCTTAAAGCGGCAGTAAAGTAGTTTAGATGGATGATATTTGGAGGGTCCGGTACCAGGATGGTTTGTGCTTGTTGTGAAGAATTGGCATCGATGGTGGTGTATTTATTAATCCAATTGTATACCCTGATGCATAGCGTTTGTTGCGCAATCAATTTTGACTTGTTTAAACAAATGGTTGTCCCTTCAGCATAGAACTGTTGAGCGTGCTGGCTCATTGTGGCATCAAACAGATGCAAGTTACCCGTCCTGATAGCTTCTATTATTCCGTCATAGTGTTGTAGATTGTTGGCCTCGGTTAGTTGACGAGTGGGAAGATAACCACAATGGATTTTAGCGGCGATTAAACATGCCAGAATCTGCCTCCGTAATTGAGTAGATTTTGACGGACAGTAGGCCAAAGCCCAATTCAGTGGATCTGTAGCCTCATGAAATTGCTCTTTCTGCAACATCAAATTGCCATAATAAAATTTGAATCGGGTTGCAGGACCTCTTTGAGAACGAGGCGGTAATTGCTGCGAAGGAATCGTCTTTAGAAAGGCCGTCGCCATCGGGGGGTTATTTAACTTAAGACATAAACGTATTGACTCAGTTAATAGGATAGTATACACACCAATCTGACTCACATCACTCTCACCACGAAACTTCCCAATATGCTTCCGGATTCCATTAAGAATTCGCTGTAAATTTTGACATCCACCATCCGTCTCCATCTCATCATCCAAACAACTTGTTGATTCCGTACGGTCTGCTATGTCAATACAAAATCCTATAATACTCGCCAGCCCAGCACTTGTCCAACCGGGTACCTCCAAATCACGTATACTACTCACCCAAATACTATAAAACCACAAGTATTCTGACTCGAACATATACCGGTTAAAGTAAATATATACAGACGCACACACGTGTGTGCACTTACTCTATAGCATCCAAACCAAGTGCAATAACCTGTCTCCATCTGTTATTAAATGATGCTTGTAGTAGTCCGAAGAATATTCGTGTTACCTCTTTAAGCTTGTCAGGTATGGATGAAACTTCGGAATCGAGGAACGTTTTAAGTTGAACATCACTAATATTGCTCACTTCATTTTCTCTTAACAGTTTTTGTCTGTTTCGGTAGGGGGTATCATCTCCTGGTATTTTGGCGACACGAAAAGGATTATAGAGCCAAGCCAACTGCCCTCCGGACTGTCGGGCGTAAATAGCCTCAAGTGTGCCCGCCCACTGCACCACGGACGCCATTTCAATTTTTAAATGCGTCTGCTGGCGCTGGACGGGTTCAAATTCTTGTGTCATGTATGGGTGATCGCCGTCCACTGCCTTCCCAGTCTTACTTTCTGGGATACATTCATGAGGAACCTGGATGCTGGTTCCTTCTTCGTCATGACAGGTATCGATCGCACATAAATTAACATAGTTTCGCGAGGTAGGATTCGCGAGTCAAGTATCATTGACGTTTGCCTACAACAAGTGGAAAGGAAGTTTCATTAGAGCAACAGAGGAAACACAGCCTATACATGCCGATTGCAGCGTTCTCAATACCCACACTCCCGATGCAGCAAAACCAATGTCAGATTCACGACACGAGTCGGACTCACGACACGAGTCGTCCTCCTCCCATAAGATAGATGAAAGGCCCCCTGGTATCTATCTCAAGTCATTCTTTGGCAAAGTTGCTGGACCGTGGTGGCTTAAAAGGCTTCCAATGATGATCCTTCTAGGGTTTATTTTCACACTAGGATGCCATCTCATATTCCCATTCAAGAGAGCAGATCGTCACGACTTATTACCATACATGCTACTATTTCTCCACCCTTTCATACATCACTTTGATACGAATAGAGAAGATTGGCATCCTAACCCTCCTATCTGGTTCATCGATAATTGTATATGGCTTTGGTTAATACATCCATTTGTATTCAGCATAATGGCTTTGATTCGAGAGAAATTGATTCGTAACACACCTTTCGGCACAAACACCTTTCGGCACAAACACCTTTCGGCACACACACCTTTCGGCACACACACCTTTCGGTACACACACCTTTCGGTACACACACCTTTCGGCACACACACCTTTCGGCACACACACCTTTCGGTACACACACCTTTCGGTACACACACCTTTCGGTACACACACCTTTCGAGTTTTCAGATGGAAGAAAAGGTGGCAAGATGGGAATTGATGGTTTAGCCCTTTCTGATAGTATGAGTTTAGGAGTACTTTACGTTATAATGACATTGATATTGTTTTCTTTTGTGATGATCGAACAGCCTAATGCAACCAAGTATACTGGTTGGTCTTATCATTGGTTTCCACGAGCCTTGCAATATTATTTCGGTGTGTGGTGCGGTATGGTAGGATCATCTGTAGATTGTCATGCATTGATGACATACCCGTCGGAGTACTTTGGTGAATATTCTGGAGCTAGATGGTTGGCTATAGTTATGGAGAAGAAAGTTATTGTCCGATGGTTACCAGACATAATTTTCGGCTTGTTAGCTTTGATATATTTCAGTCCTCCTCATCGAAATGATGCGCATTGGTCCTCTGTATGGATGTGGCGGAGTATGGGAGTAACGTGTCTTGAAGCTCTACTACTTGTTGCCATGATCTATGGCCAACCCTTACTCAGTCCTGATAAACCAAACCCCAAGACCACTGACCCGCAAACTCCAGACACGGTACCCACTGGCCTCCGTGAGAGGACGGATGCTGTGGCAACGGACGTGGAAGCCGGGTTATTGGGAATGGAGGAGGGAGACTATAAAGAACTCGCTCTCAGCACACTCACTCGGTTCTTCGATAGCAGATATTCTGTTGTCACGTGGATATGGAGCTCCAATTGGTTCACAAAAGTCGCACCTGGCTACACCAACGTACTAGGTTACCTACTACATTTCCCGCTCGTTTGGCAACCTATGTTCGACAAGAACAAAACCATTTCCGGGCAAAAATCACTTCTCTTTATGCTGGTCCTTTGGTGGCTATGTCTTATTGGGAACTGCCTCTTTAGCAAAATCAAGACAATACTCGACCGATGCTTTTTCTCCATCTCACAGTATGTTGTCTCATAACCTCCAGCTATCACACTATTTCAAACAGATTATTTCCTTTTATGCGGAGTTTATGAATCCGCGCGCGTGTGTGTGTGCGCACACACAAAGGACCAATGGCACATGAATCCCACACACGCATAATTCCGTACCTCCGTTACTACACGCAGCAAAGGATCAAGGATCCAGTATGCACACCCGCACACAAGAGACGTACCGTCTCTCGCCCGAATCCAACTGAAGAGAATTTCATCATTACAACATGAAATTCTCTACCGTCCTTTTAATTGTATTTGGAGTTACGGGAGCAGCAGGCCAGAAGTATCCTGCTCCTCCAGGGCCTGGCCCGGACTGGAAGAACCCGTGCTGGCCTCCTGAGGCGCCCTTGGACTACAATAAGTGCCATCACATTGGAGAATCTATCAAAATTAAGAAAACCTCTACAGCCGAGATTCACAGGCTGCGGTAGGAGCGATCCTGAACGTTCCTAAAATCGGGCCGGAATGATCGCGGTGTTATCAGGTGAACGGAGTTATTCGAATCCGTTTGCCACAGGTACTGGAAGAGGTCACACACAAGTTATATGACATGTTACATGAGAGCGGGTGTGTTAGATTTATGCCAGCTCTGGTGAAATGGGCTGTTGATCGTCGGGTATTTTTGGGAAAGAAAGAACGATGATAATTATCATTGAACTTGGTAAAGTGCTGGGGGGGCGTCCTGTGGGGGGATGAGACACACTGGCAGCATCAGAAGCATGGAAAGGCAGGCCAGGCCGGCCATTCTAGGTGACTAAATCGCTTCGAATGAAGTCATCGGCGGCACTGGGGTCAAGTAAAGTGCATGGGGCGGGGTTGATTGCAGCTCTTGTCAACTCCGATGGGGCCCTCCCAAGCGTTGAAGGATGTACTGCTCGAATGATCGGGTTATGTTGCCCGAGCCAGCCCGATCTGGTTGTTAAGGCAGTGGCGATGGTCCCGGAGAAGGGCAGTGGCGATGGTCCCGGAGAAGCTGGCTGAGTCACCGTCCTTTGACTGGTTAGCACGACGCGAATGGAATCAGGTTTTTGCCGTCGACCGGATCCTGGTCAGTGCAGATAGCGGTTTGGAAGTCAGCGCGGAAGTTCGTGGAGGCTCTGGCCACGAGAGGGGGGAAGACCATGTACAATGACGACCCGGAGGCGACTACACGTGAGTTGATTGATGCCCTGGGGGTGCAGCTGTTTGGCACACCTGGGTCGAACTTGCCGGTGGCGGATTCCGTGGAGCCAAGGACTGAGCTGGTATTCTCGAGAGCCCTGACGAATATAGAGGCTTCCAAGGTAGCGAAGGACATGCCCGTCAAGTGGAGGCCTGCAATCCGGGCTTCAGCCAAATCATTCGACGAGGACGAGGTCGACGTCGAAGATGGGAGAACGCACGAGTTAACTAGCAGACGCGGAGGTCACCCTTGCAAGTTCGTTGCGGCGGCTTCCGTGGCTGCTGCGTTGGGCAGCGGCATC